GAGTCAAACTCAAGCTGCTTGAGAGACAAAGCTGAGCTTTATGCCTTTGCCGCAATCCCCACTTGCTTCTTGTTATATCTGTCAGTAGGAAAATGTTGTGTTTCATTCATTCAAAAATGATACTGCATCGGAATACAATCCAACAGTCAAATACATTCATTACAAAACGTATCTGTAGTTGCAGCTTAGTTGCACTGAAGCATTTTAAGAGACAGGGCAACTGAACAAGTAGGCTATAAAATAGTAATCTGTACACTAAGACAGTACAGCGATACCTGGCCATTAAGCCCTAAAACTGAAAAATGACACGAGCAAAATTCAAGGTGGAGTCGAGTAATCTTTATGTCAAGACAATGCAGTGATACCTGACCGTTAAACCCTCATTTTGCCCCTTTTGTTTTAATGAAGCTGTATGAACATTATCATTTTACTGCAGGGTTATGACAGCAACTGAGTGAGAGTATAAGATACCCCTTTTGTCATCCCAGGTATGATTTATTGATTTATTGCTTTTTGACGATGCCCCCTTTTGGCAGCTAGCTTCCACCTGCAGCTGAGTCACCCACGCTGTTTTTAGGACTATTATTTTATGGTTATTATAAGGGGGACATCCTCCTGTGGGCCCACCACCTGCAGGAGGATCCGTAAGGGGCTGGTGCATAGTGGACCAGACAGTGGTCAAATGCAAGGGCCCTGACGACCCAATCTCTGGACATGGAGACTAGCCCTGGGGACGTGGAATGTCACCTCGCTGGTGGGGAAGGAGCTGGAGCTTGTGCGGGAGGTTGAGAGGTACCGACTAGAGATAGTCGGGCTTGCCTCCACGCACAGCTTGGGCTCTGGAACCATACTCCTCGAGAGAGGCCGGCTCCACTACTCTGGAGTTGTCCGTGGTGAGAGGCGGCGGGCTGGGGTGGGCTTGCTTTTAGCCCCCCAGCTTAGCCACCATGTGTTGGAGTTTGCCCCGCTGAATGAGAGGAACGTTTCCCTGCGCCTTCGGGTCGGGGATAGGTCTCTCACTGTCGTTTGTGTCTATGGGCCGAATGGCAGTGCAGAGTACCCGGCCTTCTTGGAGTCTCTGTGAGGGGTGCTGGAAAGCGCTATGACTGGGGACTCATCGTTCTACTGGGGGACTTCAACTCATGTGGGCGATGATAGTGACACTTGGAGGGACGTGATTGGGAGGAACGGCCCCCCTGATCTGAACCCAAGCGGTGGTTTCCTATAGCCAGTGATGCTTTTCAGGCTCCTCCAAACAGATGAGGGGTCGTTGGCTGAAACTCGGGCTTTCAGCTTTTCAGAGTAGCTCCTCTTTGCTGCTCTGACCTCCCTTGTCAGTGTGTTCCTAACCTGGATGTACACAGTCCTGTCCCCACATCTGTAGGCCTCATTTTGTCATGATGAAGCTGCTTGAGTCTTGCTGTGAACCAGGGCTTGTTGTTGTTGTTGTATGTGCAGAAGGACTTTTTGGGCACACACACCCTCATAAAAGATGTCACAGTGTCAGTGAGTTCATCCAGGTCTGTAACTGCAGTCTCAAATACACTCCACTGTGCAGTCAAAGGAGGCCTGTAGCTCTGACTTAGTCTCCTCAGTCCAGCTCTTCACTGTTTTGACCACAGGCTTCGCAGCTTTAAGTTTCTGCCTGTAGGTTGGAATAAGATGGATCATACAGTGATCCGAGAGTCCGAGGGCTGCATGAGGATAGAGCGATAGGCGTCTTTTATTGTTGTGTAGCAGTGGTCCAGTGTGATTTTGTCCCTGGTGGGACAGGTAACATGCTGTCTGTATTTGGGCAGTTCGTGGGAGAGGTTTGCTTTGTTAAAGTCCCCTAAAACAATAAGTGGAGAGTCGGGATGTTCTAGCGCCACGCTAGTTATCTGTTCTGCCAGGAGATGTAGTGTGCTAGTGTGGGCCTGTGGCTTTAAATAGGCACCCACCAGGATGAAGCTCGAAAATTCTCGGGGAAAATAGAAGGGTTTGCAATTGATAAAAAGAGTCTCTAAGTCTGTGTTACATGTCCTCAGTAGCACTGTGACATCTGTGCACCAACCTTCATTTATGTAGAAGCATATTCCACCTCCTCTCATTTTCCCGGACAGCTCTGTTATGCAATCTGCTTTGTACACCTGGAAGCCCGGTACTTGTATTGTGCTGTCTGTGATCGAGTCGCTCTTCCAGGTCTCTGTGAAGCACAAAGCAGCAGTGTGTGCAAAGTCAGAGTTAGTCCTGTTGACAAGAAGAATTTCATCCATCTTGTTGACCAGGGAGCGAAGATTTGCTAGGTGGATAGACGAGAGTGGAGTCCGGGTCCCTCTCTGGCGTAGCCTCACTAAGGGACCCGGACGCTTGCCACACCGGCGTTTCTTCCAGATCCCGTAGACTGCAGCTGCGCCTCCGATCAGAATATCCATACAGCATTCTTCGTTCACAAAAATTGGAGAAAGGTAGTTCGGTGTGAGTTGTCCGATATTTAACAGTTCTTCTCTGGTAAAAGTAATCTGAGATGGCTTGCAAAAGACCGAGAAAACAAAGAAAAACAACAAACACAAGAGTGCGAGTAACCAAGGCTGCCATCGTCGGTGCGATCTTAGAGAAATACTGTCGGTTTTAACACCAATACCTTTACATACTTTTCATTTTCTCACCATCACTCTTGAGGTACAGTCAGCCATTAAATTGGGCATTTGATTTATTTTGCATAATATTGAAGTGCTCATTTGATGTGATCTCTTAGAAGCAGCTAGAGCATATATCACACACACTAACAGATTTTTTTTTTTTTACAGAAGCATTGTACATTTGCCAGCGTTAGGGGCACCTACGTGTAAGCTGAATGACTGATGATGTGGAAACAAAAAGAACAGGAAACATTCGACGGTGCATGTGTTATGCTGGCGCAGGAGAAAGAGTCTGTTTCGTTGCATTATTTTATTGCTCCCTATATAACTATGTATTTCTACTAGTGTAAATAAAGTATTTCTACTTTTTATATGCAATCAAGTATTTCTTTTTATAAGTAATGCCATATTTCTACTGAAGTAATCAAATTATTTCTACTTTTATTTAGCCCATTTATAGAAATGATATGTTTTCAACCATGCAGAGCAGGATCTGAGGAAATGTTTATTTTACAGAGACAATATTTGATTTTCCAAGCCTTTTATACCATACAAATGGTGTTTGGTAACCATTATGTTAACAACTAATGGCTTGCTTACAACATTTTCCAGCTCTTAGCGGTTGTGCAGGCCTGCTAGGTTGGTAACTCTTTATTTGGTAACCTGATGGATGCAAGTCCAGTATTCACTGTCATTGTTTTGATTATCTGGGGTAAATATTTTGCTCTTTAGCTGCTAAATGCTCAACTATGTTGGTTGCTGTGTCATTTAGCTGGCAGCTAGTATATAGTTGCTTTTTTGGTGAAAATGGCAATGACCACAAAGTGGAAACAATGAACAGACACTACAAAAAGCCATGAACAATCCATTTCACATTACAGATGGTCATTTACTCCACTGTTTCTATAAAAAAACATTGATGAGAGCAGCTTTAACCGAATACAGGTAAAGCAACAAAACTCTGAGCATACTGGAACTATTGTTTAACATAGGATGAAGTGCTGAAAATATTTTATATGCCTGAAATTGTTTCAGTTTTGTGTATGAATATATAGTGTAATGACTGGTCTATATCCATCCATCCATCCATCCATTTTCTTCCGCTTATCCGGGACCGGGTCGCAGGGGCAGCAGTCTAAGCAAAGATGCCCAGACTTCCCTCTCTCCAGACACTTCCTCCAGCTCCTCCGAGGGAATGCAGAGGCGTTCCCAGGCCAGCCGAGAGACATAGTCCCTCCAGCGTGTCCTGGGTCTTCCCCGGGGCCTCCTCCCGGTGGGACATGCCCGGAACACCTCCCTAGGAAGGCGCCCAGGAGGCATCCGAAACAGATGCCCGAGCCACCTCAGCTGGCTCCTCTCGATGTGGAGGAGCAGCGGTTCTACTCTGAGCTCCTCCCGGGTGACCGAGCTCCTCACCCTATCTCTAAGGGTGCGCCCGGCCGCCCTGCGAAGAAAGCTCATTTTGGCCTCCTGTATCCGGGATCTTGCCCTTTCGGTCATGACCCAAAGTTCATGACCATAGGTGAGAGTCAGAACGTAGATTGACCGGTAAATCGAGAGCTTCGCCTTACAGCTCAGCTCCTTCTTCACCACGACGGACCGGTACATCGACCGCATTACTGCAGAAGCTGCACCAACCCGCCTGTCAATCTCCC